AGGTGACTTTTGAACTGAAATAAGAGATGCCAAGAGAGGAAACGGGTTAGTGATTTTCTTCTCACCAGTTCACTCATCAATTCGAAATGATTATTGATCTTTCGTATGACGGTTTTTGTGTAGGGGTTTTTTGACAATTGATGATTGGCTATTAATCAATCAACCATGCTAGATTGCTAGGGTACACAAGTTGTACACAATTTGTACACAAAATGTCGGTCACAGACAATTGATACGGAATTGTCTGTGGGCACAGACAATAGTTGTCTGTGTGCACAGGCAACTTTTGTCCGTGTCCACAGACATTTACTTTTTTTTTGTAAAAAGTATACTGACAGCCGCCTGACACTGACACCAGCTTGCAAATCAATTAATATATGTGCAGAGTGCCTGTGTGCACAGACAATATTTTCATGTTACACAGACAATTATTTGTTTGTGCGCACAGACAATATTTACCTCACAGACAATAGTTGTGCGTTCTACAGACAATAGTTGTCTGGTCAACTTTAATTGTCGGTGTGATCAATTTCAATTGTCTGGGTGAACGAAAAATTTAATTATCTATATACATCCAAATGAATGATGTACACCATGTGTACCTTTAATTTAGCATTTTCCTTAATGAATAGCTAATTTTATTATTAGATTGATATGGACGAATTCTATTAGTTTGCTTGATCAGCGGGGCGTCCATAGGGGCAAGGAGGGCGGGGGCCATAATAATGTAATACTACCCCCGTTCTTAAATAAATGCAACATTTTGACTTTTACACTATTCACATGATCTACTTTGACTACGTTTTATTTATTAATGTAATAATATTATTTTATGAAAAAAAATATTGTTAAACTTGTCTATTTGTAAATTTTCATAATCTATTTTTTTAGTTTTTTTACTTATACAAAATCATTTATATTAATGGTCAAAGTTGTGTCTCGGCAACTGTGAAATGTTGACCGTTGCATTTATTTAAGAACGGAGGAAGTATTTAGTTTGCTTGATCAGCCATTAGGGGCGTCCATAGGGGCAAGCAGGGCGGGGACCATAATAATGTACTATCTGATAGCTAATAATGGCGTACCCTATTGGGTATCTGAGCCTTATGTTTATAATAAAACAGAGTTATGGAGAATTACAAAGTAATCCCTAAATATTACATTATTAGGCCATAGGTCCGAAAAAAATTAAGTTCAGGCAGGGGCGGAGCGAGGGCACTGAATCGGACTAGGCCAGTACAAAAAATATTTTTGAAAAAAATACTGAATTTTTACACTAAAAAACATATAAAAAATTAAATTTGGGGTGAGCCAGGTCAACCCTGGGTCGTGGCTTAGTTGTTTACAATAGGTATGAGTGGGCTGATTTTTCAGCTCTAAAATAATGTTTTTTCGGGTGAAATGTTTTGAGGTGCTTCCGGGTGGATTTTTTTTATAAAAATTTATGAACATATTTTCTATGAAGTGTAGATTGTGTTCACAAAATTTCAATTTAAAATTTAATCTAGAAGTCAATTAAATAAATTATAGAAAAACACTGCACTTTATGCATATTTTGGTATAATGTTTTTCATTCATTTATTTAGCTGAATTCTCGCTTGATTTTCAAACTTAAATTTTGTGGACATAATCTACATTTGATGAAAAACATGCTCACAAAATTTCATAAATAATTACACTTTGGAGAAGATTAGACGGATATGATTATTTTATTAGTTTATTTATTGATTTCATTCATAGTTGATTGTTTGATTTCTTAATCTTTGATTGTTACATATTGACTGTTAGTCTTATACTTTTTACTTTTTTAGTTATAATCAAGTTTATAAATTTAATTAATTCAAGATGTAATAAAATGATTGAATCTAGCTATGATAAAGAAAAAAGGGAGAAAATTAGAGAAAGCGGCGCTAAATAAAAAAAGGTTCAATGGAAAAGTTTGTTTGTGTAAAGAATTCAAATTACGAATGTCCTCTTCAAGATGAGAACTCAGAGAAGAAGAATGATTTACCTAATGAAAATGAAAAGATTCAAAATGATCAAATCATTGGAGAGAGAATTTAGGAGTTGATAATAATAATAATAATAATAATAATAATAATAATAATAATAATAATAATAATAATAATAATAATAATAATAATAATAATAATAATAATAATAATAATAATAATAATAATAATAATAATAATAATAATAATAATAATAATAATAATAATAATAATAATAATAATAATAATAATAATAATAATAATAATAATAATAATAATAATAATAATAATAATAATAATAATAATAATAATAATAATAATAATAATAATAATAATAATAATAATAATAATAATAATAATAATAATAATAATAATAATAATAATAATAATAATAATAATAATAATAATAATAATAATAATAATAATAATAATAATAATAATAATAATAATAATAATAATAATAATAATAATAATAATAATAATAATAATAATAATAATAATAGAGGTAATAATAGAGGGGTTGGGGTTAACTAAAAATTAAACCTGCAATAACCTAGGTTAACGTCCAAACAACCATGCCATTAGTCTACGATCATTTTTAGGACTTGGCTTATTATGAGACTTTAGTCTACGATCATTTCTTGTTTGGTAATTGTGGTCTCAAATCTCAATGACTCAATCTAATATACTTAATTGTTTTGGGATAGGATAGTTTTGAGTGTGATACGATGCACCATATATATTTGCTTTTGAAAAACAATCTGAGATCAAATCAATCCCACACATTGCTAATAACTAATAAGATGGATGCATATATCATCTCATGCACTAATACGAAAATAACAACATTGAAACAGAAAGGACAATGCTTTGGGGCTATTAGCCTATGGTGTCCCTAAAACGCCTTGCAAGTATTGGCATGGGTCAGTCAAGTGTTGTAGAGGCCCTCCCCCACATCAATAATTCCAGAAATTAAAGGAGAAGGAAGAAAAGACTAATACTATCTATCTATTGGACAGAGCTGAAGATGGCCCTTAGCTTCAATTAAATGCCATCAAATGACCTACAAAACAAAGTGTCTGCACAAATTGTGAGGTAGCTTCCTGGCTGCTTCTTGCCTAACTATACTATACTCCTCCAGCATTCAATTCATCAAATGTGATAAGCATAAAACGTTGTTTCGGATGATTAGTTGCTTTGTGCAGTTAATTCCTTAGCAATCAATATGTCCACTTAGGTCCCACCTTGTTTTCTTGTCCTACTAATTACTGGCTACTTCTTTATACTATGTATTTTTTGTATTCTTCAACTATTATATTGCTTCTCATTCAACGCCAAAACAAATCTTCAATAATATTCATGAAGAGATACCGTTTCCGCCGCCTCTATCATGGCCGCTGCCGGAGCTTCTTCTACCGGAGCTATTTTTACATATCCACTCATAGTTTTCTTCCGAACATCACAAATCACAAACACAATCATTCAAACTATTTGCGCTGAAATGGAAGTTGAGATGTTTTGAATTTCCACTAAAATTTATTTATTTCACTTGTAAATTGTAATATCTTGAGCAAGTATCTTGGGTCAGTCCCGAAACACCGAATTCAATCTTAGTATTGTACTAGACTACTAGCTTGTTCTGGTGTCAAACATGATTGCGAACACAATCTCTTGAGCCGCTCATTTACCTCCACAATTGGTTGAGGCTCACCAATTATATTGAACTCAAGAAATTAACATAGCACCACTCCGCCACTTAATAGAGTAAATGACAATTGATGCCAGAACTAGGCATGGACCGGTACCGGGCCGGGCCGGTCTCCAGGCCGGTCCAAACCGGGACAAAATTTGTTGGGGGAAGACCCCGTACCGGACCGGGCCAGTTATTTTAATTTTTTTTAGCTTTTCTTAATTACCCCCCCCCCCCCCCCCCCAAACCCCGCGAAAACACCCAGCCCACCTACCATAGGCCCAAAACAAAAAAAAAAAAAAAGGCCCAGTCCAGTCACCATTTTCCTGCACCCGGAGCACGCCTTGAAAACCCCCTCACCGGGCCGGTCCATCCCTAGCCGGAAGCAAGGGTTCTGACGAATAGGAAATGTATATAACTATTCTCAATTGTAATGTTTCAAATAAATCTACATTTCATTTTTAATGAGTCACATATTTTGTTTATATTAAAATATTAAATATATAATAATATGAAATAAATACAAATATTGCCCGAACCAGACCAGGACCGAAACCTGTCAGGTGCCTGGGACCCGTATTATCCAGGCCGGTTTAGGCTTCCTACAAATGAACCGAGACCGGGACCGGGTCCAGGTCCATCCGTACCCCGTTCTCGTGTGAGCAAGATATCCATTTATTCACCTCTTGAGGGCATACTACGTATGGATGGACTCGGTTCGGGCCGGGTCGGGCCTCCGGTCCTGGATTGGAGGGCCCGGAACTGGCCCGTGTAACCACCGGGTCCGGAGTGGGACGGGCTGGGCCGGGCCTCAGGTATTTTTTTTTTTTGCCCTTTCCTAATTAACCCCCCCCCCCCCCCCTCCACACCCAAACCACCTCAAATGGCCAAAAATACCCAGCTTAATCCAAAAACTTGAAAAAAAAAATTCAAAAAAAATTAAAATGGCCCGGACCGGGCCCGAACCGGCCGGGCCGGTTCACGTTTTCACGGGCCTGAGCCCGGACCGGAACCACCTCGGGCCAGGCCTACCCGGACCGGTCCCTGACCGGGCCACCGGGCCGGGCCGGAACAGTGGCGGGCCGGGCCGGTTCCGGGTCGGGTCACCCGGCCCGAGTCCACCCGTAATACTACGTACTCCGTATTTAAGAATAAGAGTTAAAAGATTCTGTGACTATTCACCCTCCTGTGGGTTGCTAACTTGCTATTTGCTAATAGTCTCAGGGATGTTTGTATGAAACCAGTGTTACTGCGCACCTCTGTACTAATTCTAAATTAGGCCCATCTTTACTCTGTCTTGGAGTATTACAGATTTACAGTTGAAAAGGAAGTATATATTGTAATGACTCCTTATATATTGTAAGTGTGCATAACAATCCATATTTAAAATTCAACAAAAACCAATTTGCTATTGAGAAGGCGTACAAATTACTCGAATCATTTTACAACATCTGAAGAAATAAATATACAATAACAAAAATCCACTTCAAACAGTTGTTGGGAAAGCTAAACCTGTCGTATTTCAAAAGCCTAAAACAGGTCGCCAAAGTTATAACTGAAAAAGGGGATATTATTACATGTAGCATATACAGACACAATATGTCCTTTATTAGTTTATTGGAAAAATACACGAATCAAATGCTCCAATGGAATAGATAATGCAATGACACAACTCACTTAAGCAAGATTTATTGTGAAGGAGACATAAGGATGCACATCAGTATCACCTCCAAAAGCACCAACTGCACCATCATCCTCTGTTTTCCAGTAGGTGCTACATTTTGCAGACAGATTTTTTAAACAGGTAAAGAGTGGACATTTTCCATAAAAAATGTACAGTCAAAGAAAACATACAGTTGAAGAGATTTTCACAATAGTGTGCAGAAGGGTTGTTATATTTTCAAATTGTTAGCTTTTTTAAACGTTTAAACCTTTTGTCCCTTTTATCAAACTTTTCTAGTCTGAAATTGAATTATATGCCTCCCATTTTTTTATTTATGAAAGGACTTCTCTTGAAAGACATGTCTATTTTCATCTTCCAATAAAATCACTACAGTTCAGACACGTCTTTTGGATAGTGGTGATAGAAAGGTAGATAATTTGCACAATTACCTGTTTGAGTTATCACATAGTGACTCAAGAATTGAACGCACTTTCTTCTCGCTTTTCACAGATGGTGACAAGACAATTGACTGAAATGCATTTTAAGTTGAATGAAAGTTGAAAATATATAAGTTTTTTAAAATGAAAATCATACACATGGCCATAAAAGGGATAAATATAAAGAAAAGTGTGTAGTCATCACCAAAAAGGATGGAGGCAAGCCATATCTTAATATGCTCTCAGCAAAGACACGTACAGCACAAAAGTGCATCCAGGAGCTGAAAACCTGCAGGAGAACCACAGAATGGCATAATTTAATCAGGAAATTGAAACGATATGAATGAATCATTTGACAACTTCAGGCAGTACAAGAGCATCAAGATAGGCACATATAATTTTCGGCACATATCATATCAGTACCTAACTATGCAGTGAAGTACACTGCTGAATGCTTATTGAATTGAGGAACATGTGGAGAACATGATAAAATGAAAAGAGATCCCTCTGAAGACTAAATATTTGAAAGCAAAAGCATCAAAAAGTTAATCCATACACCAAAAGAAGCTTGCTGTATGCAATTATGCATACAACACTTCCAAAATCTTCTCATTGTCCTGTCATAAAAAGATCATAGCAGAGAGGACAAGTGCATAAAACACCGTCACTGTTTTTGCAGTGTTAACTATATTTGGGAATATACAATTAAAAAGAGCTATTACTTTCATGATGCTTGCCGCAACTAATTGCGACATAAAGGGCATCCGGCATAAATGTTTGTAACTATACCTCTTTTTGCATGAGTCTGTAGTGTTAATAACATTTAGACAATTAATTGGCAATTTGGTACTGAAATCAATCACAATGAATTGGTAATACAGAGGTGGGGATAGTAGTGGTGTACCAAATGAAAATAAAACATGAGCAAAATAGGACACTCCCACACTATAAAAGTACACACTAACAATGTGTTGTTTCCTCAAAGGAGTGAACATAAGGTTTGAGGTCACCTCACCCTTCCCATGGTAAGAACTTTAACCTAACTGAGATGAATAATATGCAACTGAGTTGCAGGAACAAGGAAGCTGAGAGGGTGAATCATGCTCTACTTATCAGAAAAATGGAAACCCACACGAGGTCTATGAATGATGCTTCTGACTTACTCCCTCCGTCCCTTAAAGGTTTGCCATGTTTGACCGGCACGTAGAATAATAAAGTAAAAATTGTGTGGTAGAGATTTGTGAAGAGGAGAGAGAAATAACATGAACCACAAATTGATTGATTAAAATGGAAAGTGGCAAAGTTTTTGGGACAACCAAAAAAGGAAAGTTGGCAAATTTATAAGGGACGGAGGGAGTATTACATAAGCCTAACTAAGCATCTGATTGTTTGATAGAAGACATCTACGCATTAAAACGTCATATTTAGAGAACAAGAACAATTTTAGAGAACAAATCAATCCAATTGTCATGAAGTTAAGTACCTCTCCGTAACTGGTATAGCACCATTGCAAAAGAGAGCTACGGAATGCTTCTTGGTCATGTATCAGTTTTTCCAGCTCCTGTTTTCGGCCTTCTTGAGTCTCAGAACTATACTCAAAATCACGAATCTGAACCACAAAATGAACTGGCACAGAATGAGGCAAAGTCTAGAAAGCTAATCATTATTTTACACATGCAACATGTCATTTCCAACATTGTTTGCTAAATAGAGGGAAGTATGAATGGTAGGTACAATTATTTTTGTAAAAGGAAGAACAATGATGAGTGAGAAACTCACTTGAAAGCCTCTTTCACGTGCCTTAATCCTAAAATTGTCAGCATCACGACTGAATAATGTTACAGTATAAAGAGCATATTCATTGTCCTCATACAGCTTCTTAGAGGATCTGGGAACCTAAAACAATTAGTTCAATGAAAAAGTAGAACTTGTAGGATGAAGTACAATTTCCACAGGAACCAAAATATAAATAAAAAGGGGTGTCACTCTGTCAGTTCAGCACTTCAGATACACAAAGAACCAAGTCACACACAGATCAGAAACAAGGTCACAAGAGAATAGTGTCATCAAAGGATCAGAAACAAGGTCACTCTATTACTGAATCACAAGCGCGCACACAGAGAGGAGCCATACCACATAGGCAGTGAGTGTCTCGTAGCTAGCCGACCAATCCTTCTGTGAATACTTAGAAACAACAGCAAGGAGGGTGGTTAGATGTTCCGATGTAATTATGTCTTCAGGCTTCACCAAATTGGAAAGATCGCGTACTGCCAAACTGAGGAAAGGAAACAGAATTTGAGTAAGCTTTTCTACCAAGGCACAGTTAGAAGAAGTGTGCAAGTGTAATTCAAAATTACTAATGTATAAACGACTGTGAAGGAAAATCTAAAATAGCCCCCTCCGATTCCCTACTAGACTCAAGCTACCAAAAATTAAAACGTAAAAGAAAATATTTTGGAGCAAATACAACATTCCTTGTTACTCCCTCCGTTCCAGGGAGAAGTTCCCGGGTTGACTTTCACACATATTTAGGAAATAAAGTTACTGAGGGGTAAATTTTACTGTTTGGCACTGTTTCGACACTGTTTGGCACTGTTTTGCACTGTTTGACACTATTTTGATGTAGGATAACTTTCCATTTAGGGAAATGGGAACTTTTTGTTGGGACTACCAAAAAAGGAAAGTGAGAACTTCTCCCTGGGACGGAGGGAGTATAAGTGATGTCATTTAGGCTAGCACGTTTGGTTCCGGTCATTCTAGCATGCATGCTTTTCAGGTTGAGGTTCTGGACTTCTTCTTTTGCTAGAGTTTTTAGATCCTAGACCTAAACATGTAGGTCATGAACTTTTCAAGCATGCCTACTTAATTTTTATGAAATCTAAAAAAAACATGAGAACTTGTCATTTTAGGTTTTAACAAACTAGAAGACAATATTGCAATATTAATAATTAAGTAATTAATAAAATAATACAATATTATTAAATCCACTTCCAAGCATATGAAACACTAAGTACATCAATGTTCAATATCTATTTAAGCAAACATAATGCCAAATTGCTAACATCGAATAAGAAACTCTAGGTACCCCATGATGACAAGTATAAGCATAAAATCATAACTGCTACGTACAAAGAAGTATTACTACCTCCGTCCCAATTTGATGGTACCAATTTTTATTCACTTGGTCAACACAAATCACTCTTAATCTCTTACATTATGCATTAAATTTTTATCGAACTTGATTCTGGTTTTTGCGACTTTGTAAAGCTTTTAATGTAGTTTCTGAATATGTAATTATTTTTTTCTAAAAATAATTTGAGTGCGGACAGGTGGCTGTATGCTTTATCGTCGGTCAAACATTGCAAACCGCAATGGTATCATCAAATTGGGACGGAGGTAGTATTCTTCAAGAACTCCGTACTTCTTCATCAATAGTACTTTTATCCTTGACTGGCACTCGGGCAAAAGGGCTTTCCATGTTATTAGCTTTTGGGCCTTGCAATCCTAAATTTCAGAAGTTCTTAGGCAGCTTACGGGCTATGAGATTTTAAAATTCAGTAGTTCGTCACTTGAAGTTGTGCATCAAGTCTTATCTATATAGGAATGTAAGGAAAAGTAATATAGTTTAAAATTATTATTACTTGGTTGTTTGTTTCTAGTCATTCGAAGACAAGTTTGTATCCTTGAATCCCCTCTTAGATCTCATTTTATTCACAAGGAGAAAAAATGGTAAAAGAAAGAGCTAATGGGGTAAACAATGGAAGTAGGGAATAATATTATTCATATACGTATTTAGCTTTTTTAAATGGAAAACTTCACATTAATAATCCCAACTATTAACCATCTTCCAATATTAATCCCAAATATACATAATTCTGGAATAATCCGAAATTTACCTGTGTCCTCAAATTGATCTGAGGTAACTTGAGACTTAATGAACCGGTAAAAAGAATTAAAAGAAAAAGAAAAAAGAGCAAATGCCCAACAATCGTGGTCCATCTTCGCTGTTCAGAGAAGCCCTGCGTCATTGACTTGGTACCAGCAGCCAGCCAAGTCCCTGGATCCTCGTTTCTATTCGTTGTTGCCGCCGACTATAGGTGACCCGCTGCTTTCATCGCTTGCAACAAAACCCTATATAGACAACATCACATCGGAAGAAAATCAGCCGCCCGTAGTTGGAAGTAGCATCGCGGCACACTCTCCCACGCACTTCATCTTCAGGGATCAGATCTGCTACCATTTGGAGTTGAGGGGGTTGCAAGCTTTGTTCCTCATAATCGGCCACGTTGCAGGGTTTTCCTCTTCAAGAGGAGGAAATATAATAAATACAAGAAAAAATGTAGGACTTTCATCAGAAAGAAGGGGATGCACTCCTCGCATTTTTCTCCATAGAATGGAGGAGCAGCCAACGAAAATAAAAGAATAGAAAACAAAGTAGGAGGGAGGAGAACTAAGACTCGAGAGGGAAGAAAGAAACAAAAAAAAGGCAGAGCTTGGAGGCAACGTTGGAGCAAGGCGCAGATGCAAGTCTGGGGTTGGGGGAGAGAAAAGAAAAAGAAAAAGAAAAGAAGAAAAGAAAACTAAAAGAAAAACAAGAGAAAAATGTGCAAAAAGTATAGTCCAGTTAAAACAAGCCACATGGCGAGGTGACCTGCTGAATAGGTTTATGCAGGTCACCGGTTTGTTATGAGAAGATACACCATATAATTGAGATTATATTGGAATTACCTAACGTTGGGATCAATATAAGAAGACCATGAATAGTTGAGATTATTTATGTGAATTTTTCCTTTTTAAATTGAAGAGGTATCAATGCAACGGAGTACTTCAATGGTAGTGTAGTTTTTGTGAAGTTGATTTAACTTCATTGAGATTAACGATCTGACCTGATCGCCTTCAAATAGAATGCATCAAGATGGAAACTAATAGCTAAAGACTAGGAAACTAATAGCTGGAGAATAGGAAACTGACTGACTTCCTACATAATTAACATTTATACCAAATAACTTTGATTTTCTATAGGTAGAAAGGAGATGAGTATTTTCTCTTGGCCAAGACAAAGGTGCTTACTGATATTCACACTGCTATTTTGGGATATCAACATGTTTTTTATTTGGGCCAACTTGCCATGCCATGCAAATGTGGATTGGATTGGCAAAATTAAGTCAGGCCTTAAAAGGCCACGTGTTGAGGTCAACTACCCCCAAGCGGGGCAGGTCAGCCCGCTTAACGAGCCCAGGCTGCTGGAAAACAGGAGGCCATGGTTGCTAGGTTACAGGGAAGAAGCAGTGGCGAATTGATTGCAAACCTTCCTCATTTAATTTTCAGGTCCACCATTTGTAGCTGATCATCTCCCTGATTCACAACCACAAGCAAGTTGGGTTGGGTTAGGTCGGGTTGGGACATTAGTAGCGCGCCAAAGAAGGGTCTTTGATGGGCTGCTGGCCTGTTGGCCTGTTCGAAAACTTTGATTGGAAAGGTCCAAGCCCGTGGTATTTGCATTCAATTTGAGAATACATTATATACAACCAAACAAGACCTTAGATTTGAGAACTTTTCACTTTCCTTCGTGTACAATTAAGCACCACATGGAAGAAAAAATATCAAAAATATTATGCCAGATGGAAATTTGATGCATAACATGAGACTGTCAATGCTTTGAGTGAAAAATGTGATGGGCATTGTATATGAAAACATGACTCATTGCACACCTTCCTGTTTGCTTACGGTTGATGGTATTAAGCTGGCTGCGCACATTGCTATACTCAGCAACTCGAACCTGTCATACATTACCAACAACAATTACAATACAGGTCTGCCAACGTCCTACAATGAAACCGAATGGTGAGCTTATAATACACTTCAGGTCTCTAACAATTAACTACAATGAAACAGAGTTCATACTTACAGATGATGAGCAAATACATGCATGTAATTAGTGGAGCCTAAAAGCCTAGGTTCTATCATTAGCAGAGTTATGAAAAGCCAAATGTAGCTTATTCACAACTGACAAGTCAAAGGGGAAACCATTGTCCAGTTGCCCTCATCTTACTACTGATCTCAGTAAAAGGTTAGTTTATACTAGAAAATTAAGAAAGAGAATGGTATTTAAATGTATTACTACGTATTTAACAATTTAAAAGCACTATGTCCCAGAAATATAAGCCATATAACTATATAAGAGGGATGAAAAAGTACTAGATGGCAAGCAGATGATTCATGTAAACATCTTACGCGATTTAGCTTGATAGGTAAGTAACTATATAGTTTTCCTTTCTTCTACAGAAGAGCAAGTAGGAAATACAGGTTGCATGGAAAGTATGTGTCAAGCGTAGGGAGTGTATGCAACAAATTAAAAAATGTGCTTTCAGTACTTAAATTAAGTACTTAAAAGCTAAAAGTTTTTTTATTACACGAAAAGCACTTTATTTACCAAACACTGCCAACTTTTACTTTTTCAAAATCACTTTTTCCCAAACACTACCAACTTTTACTATTAAGCGCTCTATAAAATCATATTGAAAAATCGCTTTTTTAAACTAGAAGCAATCGCAAACACTCCCTTAGTCTAATATAGTGTCCTAATCTTGGTTAGCTTCCTAAAAGAGCATGTGTCAAGCTTAGTCTAGTCTACTATCCTAATCTTAGTTAAGTTCCTAAAACGATAAATCAGAATAAAGCTCCATCACACATTTAGATGTAAAACAGATATAAAAAAAAGTTTAATCGCCAGTAAAAAACAGATATTTACTTTAAAAATTATATTGTTGCTTGATTTACAGAAAAAGTTATTGATAGCAAATATTGGGTGTTCCAATTACCACTAGAGATAAGTACCAAAAAAAACAATCCCCCAATGCCGCAAAGGCTCCCGCCTACGGTGGGGTAGGGGGTCAGATGTAAGCAGTCTAACCCCTATACTAAAGCACATAGAGACTGTTCCCGGATGACCCATGATGAAAATCGCGTTGAAAATTTCAAATAACAAAGAAGCGCAGACGGTTTAGTGGGTCATTTTGGTTTATTCCATCATATTCTGAAGCCAAAAAATAGTAAGTACCAAAACCAATTATTGAGGAAGAAGTTGATATTTGAACAGGCAATATGAACTCCACTGTAATGAATAAATAAAGGAAAGAAGTGCATGTTTTCAATGCTTAACAAGAGCTCTTGCTTCACAGTTTCCGTCCCTTGCAAAGATGGGTTTCTGGCATTACTCGAGTACGAAATAAAGAAAAAACAACAGAATACTCCACCGCAAGATTCAAATACAGCACACACGATGCCAGATGGTAATAGCAACTACTGCCAATAAAGGTGTATCTAATTAATAAAGGTTTACTGCACAATTATCAAGAAGACTGCACTAGTTGAAAGCTGAATATAGAGAAAAGTTCTATAAATGATAAAAGAATATGCACAAAATTGCAAGGCTATGGTGCATCATTTGGAAAATGGAATGGACTATCACTGCCGTTTCCCTGCTAGCACATTTTAAACATGATACAGTATAGTATAAAAATAGCAAAGGGATGCATATAAGATGAAAGTGTCCTCTTACAAAGTATTACCTTGAGATCATCCTCAATCTTTGCAACTTGGATGTGAATTCCTTCTACAGTCTCCTTAAGTGGTGACATTGTGGGATACCTAGCCTCGTCCCACATAAATCTAGGAGAAAATGCAATTACAATGTTTAGAAACACTACAAGACAAGCACAAAAAATGATAATAAAAGGATGAGGCAGCAGTGTGAAGAAAAGAATAGCAATAACAGGCATCTCATTTACCTAGTGAGATAGGAGTCGACAGGAACCCCATCAACAGTGAGAGAACTGCTAGCCACGCCGGAAACCCTCTCCAAGTCCTCGATCTGGCGCCGTATCTTTGAGCACACCCCTTCAATGAAATTGTTTGACTGCAAACATTTTCAAATTGCTCATAGCTATTTAGCATTTCCTCGTTCATGTATTCATACATACTCCGTATGTTATCCAGAACGGGCTCAACAGACATTTTAGGAACGAATAAGTACGACATGTCAATTGAAATGATAATGAGGAGAGAGCAGAGGAAATTCACCTTGACAAGGTCGTCGCTGAGCGCAAGGAGCGAATCCAATGTACCAACCCGGAGATTGGGGATGTTGAACTGCGAGAATCGAAGAGTAAATTAGCTTGTGCAGAGATCTGAAGTAGTAAATTGGGAAGTGGAATGAGATTACTCTGTAGAGGGGAGTGTCAAAAGAGTGTTTGGAGATGGAGTCTTGGAGGCGGCTCCACAGAGAGGTGGCGGAGGAGCCTTGCTGAACGGAAAGAGACACCGCCCAATATCGAGACGTCATTCCGATCGAAGTAGATCAGCAGATCCGATCAGGTTTCTCTTGTTTGATTAGCAGAATTTGATTAGTGAATGCAGGAAATTTGAGGTAGGTTCAGTGCTCAATATCCTCTGTTCTTTGAGGTATGTTCCGCGCTCAATCTCCGGTCCTTGTTCGGTGGTACCGGAGTAAAGTGACGTAAACTTAAAAAAAATAGACAAAAATATTAACTCTAATTTTTTAGAAAATAAAAATATTACTAGTACAATGATTAATCTATAAATATTTATCATTGAAATAAAAAATTATTTATAAAAATGTGTAAATACAGTATTAACTTTCTCTAGTGTCATAGGTTTATTTACATTTGAGATATCATGACATATACCCATAATAGTTTTAGTTATATTTTCATACATTTGTTTTTTTCCATAAATAAGTTTTAATTGATATAAATTTACTCATTCTTATAATCTTTATTGCCTTCACCCACCTCTACCCCATTGTGACCGCTGGGAAAGTGGTTGGAATTTAGTAGACAAGTTTTCTTTCCAACGATTACAGCGACATGTTTCATGTGAGTATGTGATACAAATAGAGTGGACAGTGCCACTAACAATGCACTGCGAAAACTAGTAGTGTCATTTATAGTTTTCCGATTTTATTATTTTATTAGTGAAATTTTGTCCATACGTAAGAATACTTGCTTTTTAAAATTAGACATCAATATAATAGAGTAGTACTTATGTCACATTGTGCAAGATACATTGGATTATGTGTGGGATTTCACATAATAAAGTACAGAGGAAATAAATTAAAATGATAAACTTTGAAATGTAAGAATAAGCGGGTTGTGCCAACGAATAGTGAAATGTGAATTGAGATAAAAAGTAATAAAGTGATAAAATAAAGAGTTTGCGTAGTTCAATTGATGAAATTTAGGAATGTGTTCATATCTTTTTTTAACAATTGAAAAAGAGAAATGTATCTTACAAAAGGAATAAAGATGGTACGGAGTAATATTTAAGAAATTTCTCATCCATTTATGTTCTCGTGTATCTTTGATAATCTATAAATTGAACATAACTCTATAATCTACCTATCAATGTAGCATTAATAATCTTGCGCTAGTCTTATTAGGAATCCTCGCGATGCCACAACCCCTGTTTTATATATAATCTAGTGATTGTGTTCACCGCCACATATGAGCATGGCCATCATACCATGATTCATTCATATTAGTCTTATCTGTTTGTCATTTGAGTAGTAGTTGACAATAATATGAATTGTTCATAACAAGTCTATCATTCATTATATTTCAAAAACAGTGTCAAAATATGTCTTGAGCTATAAGTAATTTTGCAACTAACCCCCCTCGACTAGAACATCTTACAAATACATCGCTCGACCCTTTGAAATAAAGCACTTTAACCTTTCTATTATTTGTTAGTGTTGGTAACATCTCACGAGAAAGGTATTTCCCCCCAATTTATCTATTTCTTTATTGGATATTTCTGTAACGAATTGACTGAAATAATCATCTTTTTTAAATCATTCCATTTTTACAATTTATGCTTGACTTACCCTTTCATTCTTATTATGTTATATTTAGGGATCTTGAATTTTTATAGTTTGAACCATAAAACTCGATCTGCATAACTCAAATTCATCAATTAAAAGACCGCAAAAGAAACAATCTTTTAGATTGAATTTAACATGTTGTTCTTCTTTTTTACTTTTTTCCTCCATACAACCTGAAGCTATATTTTGCAAACATCAAACTAAATATCCTTTTAGGGACGATTTGATATAATTGCACATAAGTTATAATGGTTTATTGAAAAAAAATTGATCCTCAGTTCTCGAAATGTATGTGATTTATTTCGTTGTTAAATGAAAAAATGTCTAAATTCTCGACAATTATCGTTGCATAATTTTGAGCCATTTTCATTGTCAATGGTTAAACTTTAGTTCTTAGTGTATATACGATCAAGGGTTAATAAATATTTCAATTATGTCATTTTATTAATTATTTGTGAATCATTAGTACTCCCTTCATCCCGCTAAGGTTGTCACATTTTACCTTTTCATAAAATCACACTAAGATGGTCTCATACCGAATTTGATAAAGCTTGTGTGACTCTAAATCATTCTTACTTTATTTTTACTTTATAAATTTAATATCAATCACATAAACTCATTTCTCTTAGTAACCGTGTCACATCCTCTTGTCCCAATGTTAGTAGGACGTACATAGTATTTATTTAATCTGGTCAGTTCTTATTTTAAATAGTTAATTAAACTTAGCTTCTTATACACTTCGTATCTATGTAATCCATTTTTTGTTTGGAACCTTTTTTCCTTCATCTTATTAATTACTTGTGAATAATTAGACCATTCAAGAGTGTTTTTGGTCGAAAGTTATCCTCAATTGTACATCAAATTAATTATATGATAATATATATTACATTTCATGATACATAGTTGAGTGTGATCTTAATATTTTTAGTGATCGATAGTTTTAGGGTAAATTTTTTATTATTAATGCTTTTAAAGAGTGTGAGAATTCAAGCCACAGTTCCGACTGAACTCATTCCACAATTCGGCCATGTTGAAGAATTTTGCTTTATGCGATCTTGCACCTAGAAGTTAAGGAGAACGAACGGAATTTCAAGCTTCACATATATAATACTCGAAGAGTAGTCAGCCTCCTTATTTGATAGTTTGTGCTTTTGTATTTTTTTAATTCAGTGTGGCGCTATACAATATTATTATGTAGTTGTAGTTTTATTTGTTTTACTTTAATATGTGTTTGAAATTAGCTTTGTTATGCTTATAGTTGATATTGTTAACTCAAATGAGCAAAAATATAATTTGTGCTTGTGTGTGGGTCAAAAATTGAAATAACAAAAGCCACAAAGAGAGTTTGGTATGTTGGTTTCCATTTGACCGATTCGGAGTTAAGTTCCTTCAAAAATATATCTTACATATTGTGCATGAATTATTAATCGTTAATATTCATTTTTTCTACATATATGCTTTGGTTATACTATTGAGAAGTGGACAAAGTGTCTTATGTACCGTGTGTGAAGATTATGCATGTGCGTGAAGTCAAGAAATTTGTAAAAAAAAACATATATTCATTCTCGAATTGTGTCCCATAAATAAAAGATACGGTACATGTGTCTGTCTATAGCTATGTGGGTCTATAAAACTGTGATACTATTTCTTTATTCTTTAAAATATATGCTCTTGACATGTAGGTAGAATTTAAACATGACTATATTTTTCAAATTTGTCAATAACTAGTCCTATTAAGGAATAAAAATATGAGACTTGTTTTGGAATTTCAAATCATTTTTACGCTTATTTAAAAGATTTTTACCCATTACTTATGTTATTTTTTCATATTATAAATATTTTTAATTGGCCTATCAATTAATTAATCTTCAAATTAAAGTCTGTTTTCGATGGAGGACCATCTTGTATTCTTGTTTTCAAATAGAATGGTTACAAGAGTAGATAATAGACACGCATGTCATTTCAGAAATTGACTATGGATAACCATATTTCGGAAATTGAGGATTTAAGATACCGGTCACGATCATTTTCCTTCTTCATGGTAAATTAACGTGTTAAATTTAAAATATGATTTATATTTATATCATGGATAAATATAGGTCTTTTGAGTTCATGATAGACGACCAAGACAACTGTAAGCCACATAGCCTAATCTTGCACCACTCTGAAAGACGATGATACTGAAGTTGGGTTTACCATGTCTCTCTTTCATTTAGACACAACTAAAGAGGTGTGATTTTGTATTATATCTATAGTTATTGCTATACTTATTCAAGCAAACAAAAAAAGATATATTCAGAACAAAATATAATTCATAACTAAACATTTAGGCACATATTTTAGCTTGGTTGAGGGTTTTAATATTCTAGGAGAAGCACAAATATTCTAGTGTTCAGAATATACAATCATCATACAAGCCACTTACCTCACCTTGAATTGTTTCTTATTCAAAGGTGGAAGTATAGATTTACCAAAAGACTATATATTTATCTGACTATAAGCTTATCAGATAATTCATATATTTAAAGAACCCATGTCACGTTGAAACCCAAAATAAAACAAAGATGCTAGAAATGTAAAAAAAATTATAATGTTATCATAGATGTCATATCGGAAAAAAGAGATCAAGCATCAAGTAAACAGGTTGAACAATGTTTGTCGTCATCTTCTTTCTCCAGTTTAATTATTCAACACAGTAAACTCATCCTTTCTTGCTTTCATTTTGTTTATGCGATGAAATAAATTTGTCATTCCCAATATCTATTTTCACATCATTGAATATGACTTCCTGTTTTTACAGTTAATTGATTCAATGATTTTAATATGGCTTAAGTTCTAATGTAGTCCCGATTATGTTTATAGTCTATATTGGGTTTTCCCTCTTTCTTTTTCTACTAAAAAAACATCATAGTTAAAAGTGAAAGAGACTAAGAAAAGTTCCTGAAATACGAGTAAACGGGTTTTGAAATTACAAAATAGAATCGTTACATTTTTTTTCATGAAATAAGAGTAATCTAACAATAGTTACTGTCATCGTGTAATCATTAACTAGTCTTTCACCCATGCGTTGCATGGGCTAATAAACTACGAAATTACCCATGAAGCCGTCCAATTTGCCAAGTCAATTGTGTTAACTTGAAATTCACATCTCGATTCTGTGTAAGTATGATACGCACCACCAATCAATTTGTGTATTGTATTTAAGTGTGTACGCAATATATTTAAACACAAGTGAGCCAATTATCTCTATTTCATCATATTTCCAAGCCAAAAAATAGTGAATTTTTGGTTTCATTGCAAATGATGGAAATGCCAAAGTTTACATTCAACATAAATATATTCGATTAAGGTGAGGCTTTGGGCAAATTTGCTCCTATAACTCATGGAAACATTTTTGGGTTTCTATAATAAATTTCATCTTCTCTTGAAGTTGTAAAGATAAAGAATAATTGTATGTTAGTGACAACAATGACCAAGTAATAAAGAGTTATACGAATGAATAAGTGACAACAAACCTTCTCTTTGTATCCAAGTTGGACTATCCAAAATGGTTTAACCAAAATTACTGTAATTATTTGAAAAGTAAAGCCGAAATTAGATTACTAAGGGTATGCTTGC